CGCAGAAGGTCACAGCTCTGGCACCAAGGACTTTAAAGCCAGGAACATGCACATCTGGCCTAGGCTGTAACCATAGGGTGCTTCCAGCTTTGCGTGTGCAGGGGAAACAGGGTTAGGGGGGAATGGCACCGTTTTACCGAGGCAGGCAAGAGGAGGGAGTTTAAAGGAAGGATTCGAGTGTAGAGGTAGTAGGTGCCCCCTCCAAGGGTTGGGTCAGAGCGGCCGGCAAGCGCAGGAAGCCAGGAGAAAGAACAGCATGAGAAAGGTGTGAAGGGCAGAGAGGAGCAGGATTCATGGTGGGCAAGAAGCTAACAGAGATGAGGGCCAAGGTAGAGCTGTGGAGAGGCCTGTCGCAGTGCCGCAGGGAAGAGAAGGCTGGCTTTGATGTAGGAGACAAGAGCCAGCTACACGGAAGGTGCTGCATTAGGACAAAATCCATCGTGCATGTATACAACCTTTTAGCACCTTAACCCAGGCAGGCACGCAAGCTTTGCAAGCCTCCTCGTCAGGCTGTTAACTGGGGGCAACTGGGGGCATGCCCATCGGACCAGAAAGGAAACTAAGGGGGTGGGGGGGTTGGAGTGACTCAAAAGGTTGCTCTGTCAACCACAAACCTCGTTCTATCGGCCCTTCTGTTCTAATAAGAGCACACGTTTCCTCCCCAGGTGTAGCAAGCTAAGGGATGAAAGCAACAAACCTTTTATTAACATATTCATTTTTTATAGACTATTTATCTGGAGACACAACTGCCCCCAGTACTAACTCCTCTTAAAGGAGACAAAGATCCATTACCATTAGCCTTCAAGACAGGTTCCCAGCACTTCAGCAGTGGGTTCGTACGAACTCTGAAAACTAACTTGGGCCTGAGTGATTTACTGGAAGGCAATCACTGGCTGTTTGCATTTCAATTAAAAGTCACTGGACAATTCAAATGGTACCAACTGACCTTGCTCAAATATTGAAATTTCCAGCCAGTGTGCTGCTTAAGTGATCTAAGGATTTATTTGCATATGAAAAAAAGGCTAATTAAAGCATGGCTTGAAAAAGTCAGACTCCCCATCCATGCATATAGATGCCATTTGAGCCAAAGGCAGGCTGACACTGCTCTCGCTTCCCCTAGCATCAGGGACCATGGGCCTCCGAGCAGCTCTTAAAATGAGCTCGCATCAGACCATCTATTGTCCCAGACACTCTGGAGAGCGTTAGAGGATCAACAATTTCTCCCTCAAGTGCCTTGACAATGTGCTTTTCCTACAGACACAAAACCAAGGGAATCACACATTAAAATGAAACATGTTTCACGGGTAAGCGAGGGTGAGAGAAACTTCAGTAGTGAAGAACCGAAGGGCAGGATAGTTCACAAAATTGAAATCTTATAGGCCAGTGGAGAAAAATGTATTGTATTTGTACGGTACTGCCCAATACTAGCCCAGAGTCACGTTAGGGAAACAGGAGCCGGGACTCCTGGGTTCTGCTCATGGCAGGCTTTGCTGAGAAACGTTCACTAGGGTCACCTAATCTCTTTATGCCTTAATATACTTATCTTTTGTGGTCTTTAATGCTACCTCCTCCACTGGCTGAGAGAACATGCTTTAAAAAAAAAAAAACAACCTATTTCCATTTTTTTTCCATTTCATTCTCAGGATTAGGAAAGCCAACCAGCTCTCATGGCCATGGGAACAGGGCTCAGTCCTGGGCCAGTGGCTGCTGTCTGAATGGTGAACGGTCTGGGGAAGGGTCTTGCTTGCTCTGGGGTTGGTACAACAGGATTCTGGTGACTGGGTTTCCAGGGGCTACTTTAATAGTTTGGGCTGGAAACGTTTAGTCGGGACTGATCCTGCCTTGAGCAGGGGGCTGGACTAGATGACTGTGAGGTCCCTTCAGCCCTACTTGCTTATGCTCCCAAATTATTACTATCTAGTGTTGGGAAACAAGGCCAAGGTGGTACAGGGGAATGGCACCATCTTAAGACTCAAAGCAGAAAACAAAACATCACCATAGCAGACGAAGGTAACAGCGAGCACTACGCATAGCGAGCAGCAGCAGTTGGGTGGTACAAAGGCTTTCTGCTTCAATAGAGATTTACAGAGGCTCAATAGGTACAACATAAAAGACAGGACTGAAAGAAGTAGCTGTGATGAGCAGGTGGTTAAAGTGCTGGACTGGAAATGCAAGACCACTTCTCAAGAGGGGTAGCGGCTCGTGCTTGATTCAGTAGCACCCATAGGGAAGGTGAGCCCTGGTTTCTGGACCCTTCTCCCAGGATTGCTAAAGCAACGGGTTTAGACTAGGGGACACAGGAAGCCCCTTGCAGCCCTACAATTGTATGAAAAGAAGTGGGGTGGGGAGTTGCTAGATAGTTAATCTATAAAAGTGCATATCCACCCTGCTGTCTAACTGAATACATACACCCCATCATATATTTATGGGTTGTCAGAGGCCATCAAAAGTAGTCTGAAGATCCAAACCTCTCTGAGCAAGATGACCAGACGCATGAAGAGACAACTGGCTTCAAGCTATGATTTTTTTTCTTTGCACCGCTGATGGTTCACAGGAGCCAGGTGATTATTATCGTTCCTCAAGGCTGGAATGATTTGATGCTGTTTTCGATAGAGCTTGGAAGCCAAGTTAACGGCAAGGCTTTCTCCAGGGTGGTGGCATTAGTGGGTCTTTTATGTCACAATACAACATGGTCCAACCGCCAGCACTCCTGAATACAAAGGAACAGGACTGCTCAGTAATGCTTTATAGCTCACTTTCTGCATGGATAAAATAGTGTTCATTTCCTTGCCTTCATCAGCCCTGCAACACAGGTTTGTGGAGGCTGCAGGTGAAGTACCACTGACAATCAGCTTCCATCCCAATCTCTATGAAAAAGAGCCAACAGCCTAATTTCTTCCCTCCACTGCTGTTTGTTCTTTTTCCCTGCACCTAAGGTTACCTTTGAAACCTGCAGCCTCGCTGCCACTCTCATGTAGCTTTTCCCAGCTTCCTTTACAGAGAGCAGTTGTGAGGCAACAGCCCTGGCATGGTGTTCTCTGCCTCCTACCAGTTGGCAGCGTGTCCTCAACCGTCATCTACCTTCTGCCTCCAGCTGCCCTCTCTAATTAACTTCCAACCCTTCTCCTTTCACTTCAGCAGGGCTCTGCAGGTTTCTGTTTTGCACAGGGAATGGAAGCTTTAGCAGGGAAGGCATCTGAAAACTTGCTAAGACGGTGCTAACCAAAGACCATAGGTGGGACGATGACTGAAAAGAATTAGGCAGGATGCAATTCTTCCTGGAGCGAGTGCTGTAGCTGCAATACGCTTCTTGTCTTTCTAGCCTCTTTGGCTTGATGCACCTGCAAATAATGTCTCATCTTGGCCAGGAGAAATGTCTAAGTCAGGGGTGTCAAACATATGGCCCATGGGCCAGACCCATCCCATGGACCTATGTCTTCTGGGCCAGGGGGGTGAGCAGGGGCTGCATTAACCTGCGTGTCACTGCCACTTACTGTGTTGTTGCTTCTGGATTTGGCCCACGGGAAGCAGCATGTTTGACACTTCTGTTTTAAGCTGGAGAGAAAAACGCGACTCCAACTCTGCCGGCTGCATCTTCAACCAGGCTTCTGGAATTTCTGTTCACACCGGAGCGTGCTCCCCACTTCAAACAGCTTGGAAATTCAAACAAGCTTGCACAGCTGCATTAGAGTTTATCTTAAACTCTTTCAGGGATGTGCTTGAAGAATGAAAAATGCTTCTTGAGGGACGGCTGGCTCATGAACAGATGGGGTACAGCCAGGGCAGCACAGCGTCAGTCCATGAGACAGCAGCCTGAACTCTCTAGCAAAAAGCACAGACAAAGCAAAAACTATTCCAGCCAAATACCCTGTGTCTACATAGAGAGGCTTCCAGTAGGGTGACTCAAAGCATCCATCAACCTTACACAACTCTTAGCAGGGTAACACTGTAGGTATTCATAGCCACAAAGAAGAAGGAGGTATTAGCCAGTCTGTTTAAAGAAGAAGAAGGCATTAAAAACACTGAACTGAGGGGGGGAAAAAACAGACTCAAGGAAAAAGGAAGCTTTTAAGTTTTTAACCACTGGTCAATGGTGCACTTAGGTCTGGTTGCTAAAGACGATCTGACTATCCGTGAAACAACTCAGACTCATGCTGGTTGCTAAAGTAGTTGCTCGAAGAGAAGCATCTGCATCAGGAAAAGCAAACATTGCACAGAGAAGCCACTAAGAGCAAACACATGGGACGCGAAAAGCAAGTCATCCTATCCCAGCTGACTGAGCCGCCAGCAGGTCCGAGCCAAGGAGGATTTGATACCCAGGCTGTATCTAAGTTGTGGAAAGAGGCTTGACACTTCCTTCCTTCCACTAGCCTTAAATATGATCCGATGAAAACAGAATCCAAACAAAGAGGGGCAGGGAGCTCATTCTTTCTTTAAACATTTTCCAAGTCTGTTTCTAGCATTTAAGGCTTTTCCCCTGCTCCTCTTAGGTTGGTGGCGTTCCTTGAAGGACAGCAGACTATTGAACCCATGCCCAAGCCCGCTTTGCTTTGGTATCTACAGTGCACCCCGCCCCCTCCTCCAAAAACTTGCCACTGCCTCTTAAATCCTTAGAGCGCATTACAAGAGGAGAAAGTGTTTATTCCCATCGTAAAGATGTGTTTTAATATTTTAACATAAATCAAGCTGCGTTTTATGATGATAATAAATTTCCTGGCAGAAACTGCCTTTGCTGCCTGAGGCAATGGAATGATTCAATTTGTTTAGTTTTAAGTGTACAGAAATGTAATGGAGAAGGGTATCGTACGGCTGCTTTAATCGAGTTTTCAGAGCGCACCTAGAGATGCAGGAAGCAGGAGGCTAATAAGGGGAGCACACCAGTGCTTTAAGTGTGCTAAGCCATCACCACCGCTGTTGCCCTCTCTGGCTTCTCCTATGGACTAACAACAGGAGCTCACAGGAAGAGGAAGGAAAGAAAAAGAAGAGGCCAGACCAAAACAGATGTATAATGTGCATTTATTTGTTATGCTTTTTTTCCCCTCCAAAAATAATTACATTGGGACAAGCTGAGAGTGCACCACGGTGAGGATCCATAATAATGGACTGTTAGAGTATATAATATCCAATTAAAAATATAATTTCATTCTTAAATAGGACAGGAGGAGACGAGCTTTTGCACCACACTGAGCCAGGACAGTGACTGATTATCTCCCTGGTTGTTGTCAATGAGCCCAATCAAACTGAGCGACTTGCTCTAGCTCGATCCATCTAACCCTCCCTTCAACTTTTTAAGGTATTTCTTTTTCATGTTTTCAGCTATAAATATTTCCATCCCCCCCCCCCCCGGCAGAATTTCTCCTATAAATAGTCCCAATTCCTATAGCGGATTCTTTTGCTGTTCAAGGATGGCAGGTGTCCAGAAAATCTTACCAACATCTATCATCTTCATCCATAAGGACGACAGCTCTTCCAGTTGGGTGCCATCAAAAGACACCAAGGTTAAATGACCTTAGAGGCCTTTCTTCCATAATGTAGCAAGGAAGGCAGACCTCGCTGCACCGTTAAATCAAGGCTGGTTTATGCCACCAGTTCACAGTTTGTATCAAGATCCCTTAGAAACTGCCCTTGTGCAACATTCAAAAAAAAGAGATTTAACAAGAGGAGAGGGGATAATCCAAGCCAGAGAAGAGAAGGCACATTTCGTATAAGAGCTGGTTAAAAATAATCTCCCTTTCAGCAGGCGGCCAGCTGTGGAATCCCACATGGCCACGCAGGGTGAGGTTAGTGGAAGAGAAGCAAGCTGTTTCGGTCCCAGTCCAATGTGACCTACTGGTTTCCAGTACAAAGAGGGTGTACATGCTTTTGTGCTTTGCCATGTACAGTCAAACCCGTTCAGACTAAAAAGGTCGAACTTGGCAGTCAGGGGGTCACTAGAGTCCTAGACGGAGCTTGCCAGGAGATCAGAGACAGGTTATGTTGCCTGCTCATCCTGCTGTACGCAAACAGCTTCTGCCCGACACACTGGTCTCGAAGTTTGCTCCTGTACCGTGGAAAGCTCTCGAGAGAGATGGGTTTCTGGCAGTTGTCCAGGCCAAAGACTGTGCGTGTAGGGGGGTGGAAAGAGAGTCTCTGAGTATTTGACAGTGCTGGAAGCAGAGGAAAGAATGAAGTTTATCCATTTGCTCAGACACTTGAGGATGCAGTGTGTCCTGGTGCTGTCAGCAAGATACAATGCAAGAGACTCAGCTTGTTGACTCAAGGAACAGGCTCATGGAGATGGCCTTGGAGTGCGAGAGAGGCCAGCTGTGCCCACACTAAGAGGGGCCTCGTGCCACCTGGTGCTTTTACTTATTTCATGGGATCATTTTGGTCACTAGCCATATACAAAAGCTATCACTTCCTTGGCCAGCCCTGAGCATATGAGAACAGGATGGCCCAGCCTGGCCTACAACAGTGCCTGTGATCCATCCCATCCCTGCCTTTCAGACTTTGTACAAGCCACAAGAACAAGCAAACTGAGCAGGTGCCTTTGACCTCCAAGCTGGCGTATGGGCTTTCACTCTCTTAACCCAGAATAGGACTCTGACCTCAATAATACCCTCTCTCCAACCACTCAGTAACCTGGCCCTGAAGGAGCCACAGCAGCTTTTTTTGTAGCAGTCAAAGCCACCCAGGTACCTACCCAATGTGCCAGTAAGGGCTGCCAAACTAAGTTTATGAGCCATCTGGAGGTAAGGGACAGTCAGGTTTATTGGATTGCCACAGACTCCCCTTGCCCCATCAGCAGATCCTGCTTTATGTACTGCACCAAGGACATCTTCATGTCTCAGGGCTGAAGGATATTTTTATTTTTTGCTGAAGGAAAAAAAAAAAACCAAAAAAAAACCAGTGCTTTTCTGCAGCCCCAACCACTTGAATATTCCCATGGCAGGAAGTGTTTCAGGGTATGCGGAAGCTAGGAAATTGTACTTGAAAAACAACACTTGATTAAGAAGAGCCTGCATTTCAGAGCTCACTTGGTGAGAAGTGACATTTAATATAGCAGCAGTACAGGGGGCAAGCATAGGTATTACCCAAGCTTGGCAGCCAGCTTTCAACTTGGTTTAAGACCATGGGGTGGAGGAAGGGGGCTTTAAAATATTTCAGGTTAAAAATGTTTCAACAGTGATAGTTCTTCCTTCTGTTATTAAAGCTTTTATGACCTTTAACCAAGATCCTCAGACTGCTGCAGTCAAAACTGTAAGTCACTTTGTAGTGTTAGAGGCCAGCAGCAGCCTCAGATCAAGAGGGCAAGCCACACTGTCCAATAAAACAGGCAGCTCACCAGCAGGCACCGAAACATTCATCAGCCTCCGATCTTGGAGACGTCTGTGCTGAGTTTTTGGAGGGTGAATAATTCAAACCCTGTCTCAAAAGCAGCGACAAGAAACACTCTTAACCTGAAGCACAGGGACAGCTTTAAAAGTAGGATGATGGCTTTTGGGACACCTAGTCCATCTTACCCTCTCTCCCCTCCCTAATACCAGCAAGCTCTCTCTCAGCAATGAAACAGGCACAGTAAACAGCACAATGTTGCATTCTCCACTTAGCACCAGCTTTCTCCTCTTGAATTAACACCCAGCTCCTTTTGAGCCTAATTACCCAGCGCTGGAGACTGGAAATGCGGCAGGATGCACAGCAAGAGCTCTTGCAGGTCTAATGCGCAGCACGAAGGGGTAATTAGCACCTTCCAGCATACAGGGATCCCGACCGTTGTAGATGGGGTCTGCCCTATTGCACCAGTGTTCTTGTGAAAAGCAGGTCTGCTCTGGCAGCTGAGGCCACTTAGCAGTGCCAAAGAGCTGGGGAAAGACAGGCTTCCCACTTTAACTCCTCTGCTGAGGAATATGGTTATCCAGCACGAGCAGGGCCTGCCCAATTAGTGCGCTGGCATCCACTGTGGGTAGCTGAGGGGTAGTAATGAAGGGGGAAAGAAGCTGGGAGTCAGAGCCTTAAGCAGCTAGTTTGGCCTCCAAAGGGAGTGTTAGAAGACAACCAGAAAACCGCTAGTAGTGAACATTAATAACAGATAAAAACTAACCCAGACCCATTGAGTCTACGCGTGCATCCCATAGAGCACAGGACAAATAAAAAGGCCAAGGGAGTAACAAATGGAGAACAAATTGGTAACCAGCCTAGTCGTCACATCCAAGACGACCACTGCTCCTTCCTCTATCCTCTCCCCATCCTTACTCCCCACCTCGACACTAAGATAGCTGTTAGTGTAGGCAAAAGTTTGCAACTTCAGTGGGATGGAGGGGGACTCTGCTAACACAGTGGGCCTGCCATCAGATTCTGTTAGCAGCTATCCTGGTTCCCCACTTCTGGCAGAGAGACTCACTCTGCTCTCAGGAGGAGTGGGTGAAGGAGGAACAGCCTCCTGTTGAAGTCCACAGCACTAAGGGGGCTACTCCTGGACGGAGAAGAAGATGCTCTGTACCAGAGCTCAAGGCAGAAATGGTCAGACGCTCTTTTACCATGCAGCCTTCCAAGAGCGCAGGCCCATGGCTTCATATAACGAGTCTGCAGATCAGAACTGAAAGGAGTTGAGCAAGTCACCTGTGACGGTAACGGTGTAAAGGAAATCCTCGTGTCCTCATCAAACCTGCATTGACAAGGTGATTGCTTAGAAAGACTTGGTTTTCTGTCCTCCCCTACACTAACCTGAGTCTTACAGTGAGAGTTGAAATCTTGGATCCCAGGGAGGAGAGTGCAACTGCCCCATCAGAGTTTTGGCTCGCTCAGGATGATATTTGCAGTCACAAACACTAAACAAGAAAAACCCCAGACCAGCACAAACCCGATCCAGCAGGTGTGCCGGAAAGGGGACAGATGCTTGTTTACCGTACCACTACCAAAGACCAACTGAGTATCCTTTCGACTACAGTATGCCAAGAAAGCTGGAATGATGTACTGGATCCCATTGCCAGCATAAGCCCCAGTGATACCCACCAAGGACTCCAAGTCATGGGTGAAGAAGGCCACCACCACAGGGGGAATCAGAGTGATTGCCGGAAAGACAATCCTGTCTACCACCCATGGATATGTCCCACCTTCCCGGTGGAAGAGGGTCTTCCAGTTGTTCCGCAGAGTCACAGCGATGATTGGGAAGTTGGTGCTAATGGTGAAGACAGGGAAAAGACCCAGGAAGTAGCGAATGAAGGCAATGTTGATGATGTCACAGTTGGTGAAGTTGAGCGTGTACATGTCCATAAGGGTCTCATTGCGGAAGCAGTAGATGGCGGTGAAGGACAGGAGGCTGTAGAAACCCAGAATTAAGACGTAATCGAGCAGCACAAGCTTGTTCACATGCTTCTTCTTGGAGATTGGAGTGATGAGCGATGGCAAAGAGTGCTGACACATGAAGGAGTAGACACACACCCCAAAGAGATTTTGGATCCCCGAGAGGTTTGCCATAGATGGGTGACCTTCTGCCTGGCCCTTGCCGATGCGGATTAGGGCCAGAATAATCATGATGATGAATGCTGGAAAACAAGAGAACACACTGTGAGTCCAGTCTCAACATAACACTATCCTCCAGCACAGGCACTCTCTGCACCACATCTTGATACAAGTCTGCAGCTGCAGTGATAAAGAAAGGCACGCTTCTCTTTGAAAAAGGTGGCAGTGCATAATAAAGAACATACAAGGGAGTTATCATTTCATTACTTTCAGCAGCAGTCTGTACAGCAGATGAAATTCACATGGTAAAAGGCTTATAATTTGCTTTTTAGCAAGCATATTTGTCACCCTTTTAAAATCATAGAAAATGATGGTTTTGAAGGGACCTCAGGAGGTCATCTAGTTCAACCCCCTGCTCAAAGCAGGACCTTCCCCAACTAGATCATCCCAGCCAAGGCTTTGTTTAGCCGGGTCTTAAAAACCTCCAACAATGGAGATTCTCCAACCCCTCTGGATAGCCTGTTCCAGTGATTTACTGCGCTCCTCGCAAGAAAGCTCTACCTAATATCATAGTTTCATAGTTTCATAGATTTAGGGTTGGAAGGGACCTAGTAGATCTTCTAGCCCGACCCCCCGCCAGGGCGGGAGAACAACAAAACCCCAAAACAAAAACGGGACTCAAATGAGTCCAGCCAGGTAGGCATCCAGCCTCTTCTTAAAGACCCCCAGGGTAGGGGCCAGCACCACTTCCCTTGGAAGTTGGTTCCAGCTCCTAGCCGCCCTAACTGTGAAGTAGTTTTTGCGGATGTCCAATCTATACCTCCTCTCCATCAACTTGTGCCCATTACTCCTTGTTATGCCAGCGGGCGCTAGGGGAAACAGCGTCTCCCCCAAACCCTTCTGGTTCCCCCTAGTGAGTTTATAGACAGTCACCAGGTCCCAATGACGGTCACCAGGTCCCACAACTTCCCTTCCTGCAACCTGCATTGCTCCTTGTTCGGTCACCTGCCACCACTGAGAAGAGAGTCCAGCTTCATCTTCCTTGGAGCCACCCTTCAGGTAGCTGAAGGCTGTGATTAAATCCCCACCCCAGTCTTCTCTTCTCCAGACTAAACAAGCCCAGTTTCTTCAGCCTTTTCTCATAACTCATGTGCCCCACTGCTGCTGCCTTCCACTGGACTCTTTTCCAGGGCCATTTTAGGAAACAGACAGTCTGGGCCTTTCAAAAACGTGATGCTGCTGCCCTTGAATCAATCACCACTTCTTCATCTAAGGGCGTCTCTTTCCACGCACCTTGTAAGGTTTTTTCATACCCCCCCCCAATCATCCTCATCTGCACAGATGCTCAAGGGATATTTGCCACAGAGCCAACACCAAAGTCCTGGCACCATTAACCCAAGCGTTGTGTGTACAAGGGAGACTGGAAAGCTCGCGAGCAGCTGCTAGAATCTGCGGAGTGGGGCAGAATAGCAACCAGCTCCGGCCATTTCCCAGGCATGAAGAACAGGCTGTCTGCAACTAGTCCCAAGTGGAAGAGCGAGCCTAGGAGGAACTAAAAGCAGGATTGAAAAATGGCCATTAAAATTCATCAGGTCTCCACATAAAATCTGCTTGCCTGTCCTTTACCTCAACAATGCAAAAGAAAAAAAGCCCTAATGATGTTTTACTGGCCTGTCAAAGTAAAAAAAAAAAGTTACTTGCAATGGGCAAGAGAAACCTGAAGGTGGGAAATAAAGGCTTCACTAGGCCCCAGAGGTAGATTCTGGGTCAGAAACCATTATTTCCCCTAGTAGGGATAATAGTCTAGTGATAAGACCAGTAGAAACAAATCCTGGTATTATCAAAGTCACAGCAAACCTGGGAGGCCTGGTCACTGGCTGTTCAGGTTACTGAAGAGTGAACAACTCTGCCTGCCCAAGCAATGAAAAGCAGGATTTACAGTCAGAGATTCATAATGAATGGGCCAGCCTGGGCTGCCCTGGCTTTTGTACAACTGTCTCCTTGCAATGGCTGCGAGGCCTAAGCACAGCTATGAATTATCAGGCAATGAAAAAATAACAAAATGCTGACATTCCTATTACAGACAACTTTCCATGTCATAAATAAAACAGCAGACAAATTAAACCAAGCGGCGAGTCTCCATGCAGCAAGTGTGAGAGCAGGCAGACCGTCACCGTGCTACAAATTTTGGGCGTCTGCTGTGGGGACAAGGAAGTTCGCTCGTTCGACAGCTAAAGTTACTCTTCAGCACCCACTGGATTGCCTTGCACAGGCGTGGGATCCAAATACGCCTTCACAGAGTATATTCACAGGCATCCTGCTTAGAGGGGAAACTCATATAAAGCTTCCCCTGGTTCTGCCTTTAAGAGTCTTTTGCATTAAGCCAGGATGAAGCATGTTTCCAAGGATCCAAACACAACCCCGAGCTGCCAGGTGCGTCACCAGTGGGTCAAGCAATTCCAGCAAAACCCAGCTCATTCATGCCTGCGTGGTTTGCAAGCCACTTAATTCACAGAAGATGGCCAAATTAGTGGCAACCTGCTCCCGCCACTTTTACTTCACAGGGCATCATTTTCCTGATCAGCTGGAGCTCCTCCAGGGGTCAGAGGAGCAGCCTTTGAAACAGAAGCACAGCAATAACCCAGAGCAGCTCAGCCATCCTAGCACAGCTGTTTGCTGCAGCTGTGTAGACCCCCAGCTAATTCACACACCCTCATCTTTGCAGGGGGACTAGGAACCTAACCCTTGTGAATTATCTGGGATTTGCTCTATTCATTTCACTGCCCCAACACTTCCTTCCTTTCTTCTCGTGTCTGTGGCGTGACATGGCATTTAGCTGAATTTGCAGATCCGCTGGAATCTGACAGGGCCGTGCCAGGAGCGCTTCCGCTGCGGCCTCGAACCTGTGAACTCTGGGCTGTCAACCGCGTGCTTTAGCGCCTGGCCCAAGACTGAAACACTCAACTATGGATTGCCTAATTCCAGAAACTCAGCACCTGGGGGTGAGGCTCTGAAACCTGTAGGGTACCCACTTCCCCTCTAACCTCCTATGCAATCCACTACCTTGCATCTAGTTCCCCACCGTGGCACCCCCACAGCATGCTCCTCCACCCATCCTTTCTTGACATGCTGGAAGACGCCAGGACATCACGCTGAATGCACTCCATCCACCCCAGGTCTCTGCGCTCAGTGTTTTATGGCCCCCCTGGAGCAATCAATTCCATATCTTTTATTTTCCAGTGAGACAGGCTAAATCTGGCTAATGTTTCTCCATAAATATGGAAGGGCCTACAAAGTAAACCAGTAAAACCAGACCCATTATGATGGAGAAGGGCCACACTGGGAATATCAGGGACCAAACAGTAGTGACAGCTAGAAGCATTTACAGGTCTCTGCTCGGGGTACTCGCATCCTTCTTCCAGCTCTAATTACAGCCGAGCAATCAGGCACATTGGATTGCTAGTTGTAATTGTCACGGGAAGGGCGTTTTCAGCTCTCTCATAAGCGTCTCATCTTCCCACAATGACTGACTGCAGAGATTCTGGAAGGTTTTTATTACTCCATTCCAGTAAAAGCTTAGAAAGACCTTGAAACCACCAGGAACCTGCCTCAGGATGGCATGGACGTGGACAGGCTCACAGGAGCAGGGACACAGAAAAGGAAAAGAGGCAGCACGAAGGAATGAAAGAGCAAGGCAGACTGCCTGGAAAATGCAAGCTGAGGACATTCATTTTTCTCCCTCTTTTGGGAGAACTGCTCGGCTCGCAGAGCCCATGCCTGTATCTCTGCCATATCGCAACTATATTTAACTCAAAAGCCAGCACCTCATTCCCTGCTCAAGAGAGACAGTAAATCTCTACCATCTCTGCTCAGTCAAGGGTAGACAATGACCTATTTCCTTCTCTAAAAAACCCTCTCCTATCAGGTGCACGCTGCTTGCTTAACCCTCTGCTTCTCGCACCCAGGAAAGCTGCTCTCACACTCAACAGGACTGAATGAACTTCTTGGTGAGCCTCAGCACCTGCATGCCTTTTTCAAAGTCCTCTTACGAGAGACTGGCAGTCATTGCTGGCCTGTCCCCAGCCACCTGGGCTTTAATCACAAGGAACTCCAGCAGCATTTAACTATTCAGTGGAGACCTTCAGGCTGGCTGCTATGTCCAGCCCACGCTGGAGACCACAATGGTCGCATTTACATAGTTTCGTAGTTTGTAGGGTTGGAAGAGACCTGAGCAGATCATCGAGTCCAACCCCCTGCCATGGCAGGAAAGAGTACTGGGGTCAAATGACCCCAGCAAGGTGTTTATCTAACCTCCTCTTAAAGACACCCAGGGTAGGAACAGGGACTCCCCCAATGCCTGCTGGTCCCCTCTGACTAGTTTGTAACAGCCCACTAGATCCCCCCTCAGCCTTCTCTTGTGGAGGCTGAACAGGTTCAGGTCCCGCAGCCTCTCCTCGTAGGGCCTGCCCTGCTGCCCCTGATCATGCGAGCGGCCTCCTCTGGACCCTCTCCATGCTGTCCACATCCCTCTTGAAGTGTGGCGCCCAGAACTGGACGCAGTACTCCAACTACGGCCTGACCAGTGCCGCATAAAGGGGGAGGATCACCTCTCTGGACCTGCTCGAGATGCATCTGTGGATGCATGACAAGGTACGGTTGGCCTTCCTAACTGCCTCCCCACACTGCCGACCCATGTTCATCTTGGAGTCAATGATGACTCCAAGATCCTTTTCCGCCTCCGTGCTGACAAGAGGGGAGTTCCCCAACCTGTAGGTATGGTGCCGGTTGTTCCTCCCCAGGTGCATCACTTTGCACTTGTCAGTGTTGAATCCCATCCTATTCTCATCCGCCCACCCCTGTAACCTGTCTAGGTCCGATTGCAGCCTATTCCTTCCTTCTAGTGTGCCCACATCCCCCCACATCTTAGTGTCATCAGCAAATTTGAACAGGGTGCTTTTTACCCCCTCGTCCAAGTCACTGATGAAGATGTTGAACAGTGCGGGCCCGAGGACCGAGCCCTGCGGAACCCCACTGCCCACATCCCTCCAGGTCGAAAATGACCCGTTCACCACCACTCTCTGGG